ACATCTCATCTCCAAAGTGGCTGAACTCAGACACGTACCTGGGTTTTCTGGATCCAAGTCCAAGGCCCCTCCCACTCTACTACTCTGTCACCATGGAATGGAAGACATGCTTCAATAAATAACTTACACTTTGGAGTAGATATTGCCAGAGTGTGTTAGAATACTATAGATGCCGCCTTCTTGGTGTTACCTCAAACTCCTGCCAAGCACCTTGCAGGCCCATCAGAGCAGCCTAGTATATACAAATGAAGCTAAAAATAAATTGTGACACAGCTAGTGGATTTTGGATATTCAAAAATCTTCATCTACATCATACCTGAATAAAACTATCATATATAAATTTCTCTTTGATACATCCAGACTTTCCCTTCAGTAACCATTTCCCCCCTTTTATCTCCTATTGTGTGATTCTAAAATGACTGTACCCTTTTAGGTGTCTGAAGGTTTCGACTGCTTTCTGCATTCAAGTCAAATACCTCTGCAAAAAATCTTTGTGACCCTTGTAAGCATTCTATTCTTTTTCTCAGAATCCATGGTAATATCTGCTGCCTGCATCTACCAGGGTGATCAAAGAAATGATTATGCTAGGGCTTCATTACTGCCCGCTGAGAGAAGCGCTCTTTCCAAGGGGCCCTGCTGGACATTTGCGCTCAGGTCATGCCCTACAGGAACGATGAGCACAACACATGGTCTTGAGCTCCTGTTGGCTACAGACAAGAGAGTTTTCAAGGGGAGAAACCTGAAGACCTCGAGGTTTTTGAAAGTGAATCTGTTTCTTATTTGCATCTGAAACACCTTTTGAGCTGATAACTCCTTGGAAAATAAAGGAAACCATATTGCATGCAAATGTAGGTTTTAATGTCACACATCACACTTTCAAATTTAGGTCTCCAGATATGGGGAAAAAAATCAGTGTGCATGGCATGCACAAAAAAGTGGAGAGAATAATTATCTCCTGGCATGATCTATTCCAGATCCTATCCCAAAATGAATGTTCTGGTGAAATGCATTTATTCACATTGGGATGAAACTTAGGATATAACTCTAAGTTAATTTTCTTTTCAAAGAAAATTTTGTTAAAATAGATAAAGGCTTTGTTTCAAAGAGAGAAAATCAGAACTAATGCATTTTGCCCAGGTTTGAGCATTTCATTTGGCTTCTTGAAAAGCTTAATGTTTAAAGTGGCATTTTCAAGATACAATAATACTGACAAAGGAATATCTGATAGGACGATGGAATAACACCATGATAAATCAACTGAGAATGAGACAAATCACCTAAGTGGGGAAAGAGTCTTCTCTGTTGACATAGAATCAACATTTACCATGGTTTCAACACAGGTAATTGTGAGTAGATATAGCTTGTGTTTTTATCTGAAGTGAGGATTTTCAAAATTTATGTTTTGACGAGATCTGACCCAAGTCTCTGTGGATCTCATAGATGGAATGCAATTGGCAGCTCTGACTCATGACTTTGTTTATACACTATGCTTCAGCACATCAGAAAAGCTATTTTTTTTTCTGATAGTTTCTAAGAATGGCTCTCAATTACAGAGTCTAAGTCTGAATCATTTCTGGCTCCCTTTTCTAGCATACATCCATCTTCCTTCCTTGTATATATGCCCATTACGACATCTTTCAGAGCCCATTAGGGATATGGAATAGACATGAAATATTTTACTGACTTGAAAGTATGCAGGAAAAATTTCTTCCAATAAGAAAAATTGTGCATATACACTTTTTTTCCCATGCCAGTACATGGCATCAAAGAAAACAGAGAAATGTGCTATTATTTCTTACAGCTTCTAGAAAAGCCATTTCCTTTTTCTCAACAGCCCATATTTGGCTTTTGCTTGTATTCTTGTGGTCAGATTTTGCCCTTTTTTCTTGTTATTAATCATCATTATTGTTATTTTCAATATCATTGTCCTCATTGTCACCATGTTTATTGTTATCATAGTCAGTTTGGTTTTGGCATTTACAGGGAGTCTATCACTATTCCAGATACAATCACATTTCCTAATCACCTTTCATATCTATCTACTATATAAAATTTCTCATTGATGCATTGCTAATCAGCTATAGTAAGTACTATAGTTTTCCTAGTCTTCTTATTGTTACAAATTCCTTATTATCTCTTTTATTTCTTTCTCCTAAACTCAGCTAAAATCATCTTTGCTAGCCACTAGAACCACTGGTGGGTTCCTCAGAAGTTCCCACCCCTTGCCAATATCTGATAGTAACCTATATCTGATAGTAACCTATAATGGAATATAATCTGCAAAAAACCCTGAATCACTATGCTGTACACCTAAAACTAACAAATACTTTGAGTTAATTATACTTCATCTCTTAAAAATGTTCCCTCCGCCCTCAACTTCTACTACAATTTATTGTAAGCACTAATTTTCAAAAATTGATCTACATTTTCACTTCTTTCTTGGTCCTTATTTCCTCATTCTGGAGAAAATGATGGTTTCTTTTCATATACATATGTATATATAATAAGGTGTGGTATAGGGATGGGTTGATAAATCATAAACATGCAATAGAACTATATTAGACATATAAAGTTCCATGGGAACGCTAATGAGGGAAGATCACGTCTGGAATCAAGTAAAGAATGTTTTACACCGAGGAAAAACCAAAATCCTCATAGTAAAGAGAATTGTGGGAGCTGTTCTGTAATTGTTCTGATATAAACGGTCCATGTAAGTAACATTTATGAAAGAGTATCACAGTTCATTGAAGTGAGAGTTAAAGGGAAAGGGAGAGAAAAGCCAGTAAAGTTCATTCATGTTAAGAGTCCTAAGTGATATTCACCTATTTCCCTTTGATAAGTCTTTAAAACATCCTGTACTCAGGCCTTTAGGACAGGTCTCCAAAATATGGCCATGTTTTGCTATACTTGATATTCTCCTCATTTATCTATTCTTTTATAATCCTGAGAAAAAAATCATTTCCAAAGAGTGACGTCCCCAAAAGAGCCAGAAAAAACCTGTGTGGAAATTATTGCTTATTCTATGTGGTCACTTAAAGTAGATGCGAAGAACTGACTCACTAGAAAAGACCCTGATGCTGGGAAAGATTGAAGGTGGGAGGAGAAGGGGACGACAGAGGATGAGATGGTTGGGTGGCATCACTGACTCGTTGGACATGAGTTTGAGCAAGCTCCGGGAGTTGGTGATGGACAGGGAGGCCTGGCGTGCTACAGTCCATGGGGTCGCAGAGTCAGACACAACCGAGCGACTGAACTGAACTGAACTGAAAGTAGCACTGACAACATGGGTGTTTATTTTATTACTCTTTGCACTTTTCTTCCCTTTTAAAAAATTATTTCTGGAAAATAATGTTAATAACTGCTATTAAACAAGATTCTCATAAACTTGAAACAATTCATCTCTGGTCCTTCTCTATGAAACTTTCCATGAATAGCTTAATAGAAAATCATCTTTCCTTTTGTTGGAATCCTGTAGTATTTTATCTGTACTTCCTAATGTTACTTAACTATTAACTAGTTATCTCTTTCTATCTAGTATTATGTATTATATTATTATACATATATTTATGTAACATCTGCTCTCTCCACTGAAATTTTTGGTGGTAGCATCCAAACCTGTTACATCTCTCAAGTTTTCAAAGCATGCAGTAATTAGTTTTTTACATGTAGTTCAGATTAAAAAGTTATTAGATGGCTCAATGAATAAATGTAGAAGTAAGCAGTCTCGTTGACAAAGCTGATTCTCAACTAGTTACTCATAGGATTTTATTTCAAATATTGACTTCCAGTGACCATAAAATTAATATGAAATGTGGTGAACATGAAAATTTTCAGGAAAATTGATCTTTGAGCTAAGTTCTGTTGTCTCTTTTTTATATTTAATCTATAAATCAAAATATTTGTTTTGTCAAAAATCTGATATGTTTCTTTAAGTAATGTGCCCTTCGCTGGGTATATTCAGAGGTGCAGCATTTAAAAAATAAAGGAATTTAGAATTTCATTTTCATGCTCATATTTGCCAATAATAAAAATTAATCAACCCTCAAGGAAAGCAATCCAATTAAATAGTTAATAAGCAAAACCAAAGCAATGCATGAGTTATGACATAATACCTAGACTATCATAGGTTTATCCTTTTGTAAAATACTATAAATATTTCACACAGCATTATTTTAAATTAAATTACAAAATAAAATGAACTTATTTAAAATATGTTTTAAAATTAAAACATCAAAACAATTCAATAAATAACTGGTTCTTTCTTATTTTGGTATTTTTCTGATTCAGAATAAAAATTAATCAAATAGATCAAAAGTAATTTTTGCAGACTATTAATTACATTTTTTAATGCTAAACATACAAAACACCAAAGTTTTTGGTTTGTTTCTAATTGAACAAAGAAAGTATCCACCATCTTTGACATATGCACTTTACAATTCTATGATCTTCTTTGTTACTTTCTGATAAATAATTTCAAATAAACAATGAGAATGCTTAAACAAGAGGAACCAATAGTTTGTAATATATTCAATTAGAGCCTTTTCTCACAAGGTTTAAAAATGAGGGCTTGAAAGTACATATAATGGCATGTTATATATTGAATTTTAAACTTCATTTTAGGGGTAGGCATTTAAAACCCAAACCAAAGACCTTGGTGTAATCATTCATATAAATCAAGTCTATCATTTGCTCTTATATTCGTTTCTGGTCACACTCCCACTCAAGATAACATAGGGAATGTGGCAATAATCTCAGATTTTAGTTTTCCTTGTGGAACATAACACAAATGAGGAAAGTTTTTGCAGGTTTATGTGTTTGTGTGCAAACAACACATAAAATTTAAGCTATTAAATCAACTAGTTCGAAAGAAAGGGAAAATGAAATGAAATACTGTGCTTTTTGTTTTCATTTTGTAATAAAAAGTCCTGAAAACTTTTTCAAGTATTCAAACATCTGGACTTCCCATAGGCTTAATTAACATAAGTTTAAGTGGAACCTACCTTTAAAATTTGGTCTGATTCTTGCATCATATCCTGATGTCCTTCCCATTAATTTGTCCAAGAAATCTGAAGGAGATAGGGTCTGTGAAGGTTGTTTTCCAGACCTGGAGTCATGGTCTTTGCAGAAAGCCGCCCTAAACACATCATTAACTCTTTTAGCAACAATTCCATTTTTATCACCTGAGAACTAATGTTCACACAATGTTTGACATCGTGTTTTATAAATATATTTGATATGTTAATAAGAAGAAAAAAATTATAAACTTTTTGGTCAACTTCCTAACTTGTATATGGTCTTGAGGTAACTTTAAGTGGTGAAGGGTATAAATCCTGAGTCATATTTACTAAGTTACCAAACTTTGCCATAAGATGTTTAAGATGACACAGCATGCATAGCTGTAGATTATAGGTTTTATGGATATATAAAACTCTTTCTAGTGTCATCAGGGAAATGATGATAATTTCTAAAATTTATGTGATTGTCTCATTTCCCCATGATTTTCAAAATATTCTTCCAGCATTTCAGCCCTTAATGTAAGTCCTCTACATGTGTGTGTGTGTGTGTGTGTGTGTAAAATAAGATGGGCAGAACACAGTAAACCATGAACTAATTATCCCATTGCTTATTTTCTCACCTGCTAGATTCTGTTCCAACTTTCAGCTATTTTCAATGTGTTGTTTAAAAGAAAATCTTCACTTGTAAATTTAACTTCATTCTAAAATAGGTCAACAATGAGCATGTCTGTACTTCTATTTTATTTTATCATTGTTATTTATATATTAGCATTTAAATTGTTGACTTTCTAGTAAAGTATTCATGAAAAAGAACTTATAAATCAGTTTGTCTTTTGCATTGTTAAGGCACTAAATGGTAATTGGACAACTTCTCAGATTTTTCTTTTCCTTAAAAGGCTTATAAAAAGAGCATATTTGGTTTGTAATGAAATGAATTCTTTCATAATACATAGTTGTTAACTGAATGTTGATTTCTTCCACAAAGTATGTATTTTCAAGCTTTATTTTCAATAGTTTAACAAATAATCTTGTTAGTTCTTATCACTAAGAAAATATCACATTCTTGACACTTTTTCAAAGAAGTAATATTAAATATAAGTGCAAGGATGATACAAACATTTGGTAAAAGTTAAAATTGATACAATCACCTAGAAATACTCACATTCCCATAAGCAGATTCATCTGATTAATCAAGTATTATTTGATTATAATGGTGATGGTGGTGGTGATGAAGATGATGATGATGATGATTCTAATAAAACCCAGCCTACGATTTTTCTTAATCATAGTAGGAGGTGTGAACCTGAAAGGAACATAGAGGGTTTTCCCAGTACTCATAGCATTATTGCTATATGTTCCATTTCTCTTGGTTCTGTGAAAAAATACCATAAAATTTGGTGAAAATTAAATGAAGAGTCCTATACTTTGTTGTACGAACATCTCTTATTTCTATCTTGTCTTAGAACCTCTTAGCCATTAGGATGGCTATTTCACTTACTGCTAATAATCTGATATTTTGAGGTATCAATTGATTAAATGATTTATAAATTAAGTAGAAAATGCAAGCATGCAAATAATGATTTCTTGCTTATTTTAATTATGCATAGTCCATTTCTCATGCATGAATAAATACAAAGATGTCATATTAATTTAGTTTTGATAGGCAATAACATTTCTAAATTTATTGAACAGTAGACTACAGTGATAGCATGAGTTTTTAAATGTTTTTGATGTTTCAAGAAATTTCCTGAATTGTAGTTCTCATAGTATGCATCTAGTTATTGAAATACAATGGAAGTCCCAAGTTGGCTAAGAATTTGGGTTCTTTTATATTTTATATAAAATGAGCATGCTCCTAGCAAATTAATTCAATCAGTTGCACCATATGAAAAGCATTGCATTCAATAATCCCTTTAAATGACTTACAGAAGAATTTGAAAACAAAAAAAATCTCCATTATACAGAAATATAAAGAGCATGCAACTCATCAAAGTATCTTAATATCACATTGGCTGTGAAAAAGCATTCAAGTGCATAAAGTAGGATTATGCATCGTAAAACTTGCCTTTGTGAAAATTTACCACCTTCCCACCATAATTAAGCTTTTTAAAAGAACAAAAGAAATCTAACTCTCCTTTATAAAATTAGCATAATATGGTCCAGGACATAGAAAAATAGATAAAAATTACATGACACGTTCTCTTTCAAACAGTTTTCATGTGGAAAATATCAGCATGCAAAGTCGTTTCACCTACCTGAAGTGGTTTGTCTCTAAGAAAAATGCAAACAAGGTTGTCAAAATGTTCACTAGCTGCCGGTTCATTCCTGTATCTGTGATGCTTGTGGAAAATATTCCCGAAATGATTCCAGAAAGAAGCTAGGACAAAGTATCTATTTATTGTCCAGACTCAAAATTTGGCAGGAATCTAGTTTCCTTGAAAATCAAAAAGAGATTTGGGTTTGTACAGTTTGCTGAGAAAAAACAAAAAGTGCCAGTTCTAGGCATCATGGTCAGGTCAAACGGGGGCTGAGGACCATCAGTTAACCCAGGAGAGACAAAGCCTTAGAACTGATGGATCCCCAGCTGCTTTTCTTGAATAATAAAAATGCTGCTACCTTAATCACATCACCATGCAAAGGGGACTGGTGACAATGCCATGCTGGAAGTCGGTTGCAGTGGCTTTTGTTTTATGTCCTTTCTATTTAGCGAATCTCTTTTCTCTAGAAAATGTTCTCTTTTTAAAAGAAGTTGTAAATGAGGGATAAGAAAGGACTCTGCGTGCTAGAGTGGGTAGGAAGAAGAGGGCAAAATTGCTGAGATCCTGTGCTGGAATGAGGGCTACAGAAAGAGACGGAGACGTGATCTTACCCAGCCGGTAAATTTCAGCACTCGGACAGCTCCTAGCTCTGAAGTGCGCATGTTTCCTTTTTCAGTCGCTTGGGGCGGGGGTCGGGGAGAGGCATTCCAGAGCGGACATGCCTGCTATTTGAAGGCAAAGAGTGACTGGCTGTTCAGCGAAGGGGTGCTGAAGGGGTGCGGTGATGACCAGAGAGGAGCAGAGGTCAGGATAGATGGAGAGGGTGAAGGAGGCTAGGGTCTGAGCTCCTAGAAATGCGAGTCTGTAGGTGGGTGGGCGGGACGGGAGTTTGAAGCTGAAAAAAGAAGGGAATACGATCTAGGCGTGGGAAAAGAAAATTGGGCGAAGCAGAGAACAGAATCGATAGTACTGAAATTACAGTAGGGGAGTGGGCAGTCTACTCCTTATCATTGGAACCTAAAGGCAAAAGAGGATTCCTGTGCTGAAAAGGAGGGGACATTTCCTTGGCATGGAGAAAAGCCCATATGCAGAAAATGATTCTTGAGGATCGATAATTTAATTTAGAAGCCCTTTATACCTTCCTCGCCCCTTGAGTGTTTTCATTTGATTTTAGCTGCCTGTTCCCAAAGAGTCTCTCTACTTCTTTACTAGGGAAAGCCCCTTCGCTGAGCTTTCTTTAGCGGCTCAAAATCCTTGGGCATCCTCTTCAAGTCACGGATTTGTAATGGAGAAAAAATAAAATGGGCCGGCAGGGGGCAGTAGCAATCTTTTCCTGTCCTGGTTAAAGGTTAGATTGGGGCTCCCAGTAAGAGCTGGAGCAAGGAAGGGTGAGACTGCAGGTTGAGTTTCTTCTGCCCATTACAGATGTTAATCACCAGGGATGAGTCATGTAATAAAGTGTAAATGTGCTTCTCCTAAATTGGCTAAAGAGACAGAAAATAGTGCAAGTTTATAAATCCTGTATAAAAAGCATGACAGGTAACCTTGTTATTTCAAATTAAACTTACAAATATTACTAATAAAAAAGAGGAAGGATAAATAGTTCAATGTAAGTAATTATCAACTTCTGGCAAAGGGAGATGAAAAATTCATGTTCTGCCATGAGCTGGGTGAGTAACCTACTGTTTGTCTGCAAAATATACTTTGTTCATCTCCTTGGCACTCCATTGCAGGTCTTAATTTTAAAACAAAATAAAATGATTAATTTTTATTCCATAAATGACTAATATGCACATGGATAAGTTTAAATATCATAGCAGAGTAACAAGGAATTCTGTGATTTTAAAAAGGAAATTCTGAGAAAAAATGCAGTTCTTTTTACCTTTTAATCTTAACATAAATCACCTGATGGTCTGATCTGGTAGGTCTGAGGTAGTGCCTGAGATTCTGGATTTCTAACAAGTTCCTAGCTGATGTTGATGGTGCTGGCCCCACTGATTACACTTTGAGTGGCAATGTTTTGTATGCCCTTTTAGCAGATTTCTATCTCACCAAGACAGTGAGAATATAGGACCTTTCTTTAGATGAAAAGCAGCAGTGCGCAAGCATTCTGTTTACATACAAAATCAGTTCTTTGGAAGTGTTCTCTTAACTCACAAAACCCAGAAAAAGTGATTCAATTTAAAAGAAAAACAGTCTAGTGTAAAGTGAGACATCCCTGAACTGCAATTTGAATCTGTTCACTTCCAAACTCATCCACATGGAAACTCTGGACCTGATTTTATCCCTGCAGTCCTGACCCAAAAAATTAAATCAATTCCTGGAAATATATTTCTTCAGTTGGTGCTATGGAAAAATCATACAAGATTTTTTTGTGCTCAAGATTCTTTCCAAAAGCAAAACTATGTACATAAAAGTATAGGAAAATTATTTGTCCAAAAATTTTTTTGAGGTTGTAGTGATGCTTCAAGTAATAAAGTCTTTGCCAGTCTTTTCTTTCAAAGTTAGTAACCAAGAGTAGGGTGAGTAGGGAAACCTGTGACAAAGGGAGACTCTGGCTAGCAGCATGAAATCAACGTATATATTATTTTAGAGTTGAAGGGAACTTTAGAGGAGACCTAATGTAACCTCCTCATTATACTTCTCAGCTCTCATCAATTTGGATTCCAGCTCTGTCAATCTATAGAAACAGCTCTCCCTGAGTTTGCCAATGAATTCCTTGTAACTAAGGCTGAAGGATATTTTTTCTGTTGTCATCTTACTTGACATTTCCATGGCACTTAACATCTCTTTTCCCCTCTTTTATTTAAATTTATTTTTATTTTATTTTGGAAAGAGCTCTTTACTTGAAATTTACTCTCTCAACAGATTTTTTAGTATAAAGTACAGTTCTTAACTATAGGCTCAGAACCATACAGTGCATCTCTAGAACTTATTCATCTTACATCACTGAAACTACCCAGTGATTAGCACCTCCTCGTTTCTCCCTATCCTCTGCCCCTAGCAGCCACTATTCTGTTCTCTGCAAGGACTTTCCTCTCTAGACCCTGTGACACAGTACACTCCTGGCTTGCCTAGTGTATTGTCTCCTTGGCAAGCATTTCCTCATCCTCCTGGCTTATATTAGTTGGATTTTCTGAAGTTTGTATTCTAGTCCTCTCATCTTCTCATTCTACACTCTCTTAGACAATACAATACACATCTATAACTTGCATTTTCCTTTTATGCAGATGACACACAAATATATATATTTCTATGCAGACCTACACGTCCAGCTTCTTCCTAAACAATTCCCGTTGAATATCTCAAAGGTTCCATAAAGTCCACATGCCAAACCAAGGTTTTAATATTTCCTTCAAATCCTGTTTCTGTTCTGCTGCTCCTGTTTCATTATCACCAAACAAAAGCTAAGGCATCAACTGTAAGACTCTCTCTCCATCACCTACTGTATTCAGTCTTTACCTAGCCCTATTGATTTTCTCTCTCAAACATTTACCAAGTCTGCCCACTTCTTTCCATCTCAGCCTCCATGATCCTAGTTGAGCTATCCTATCTCTTGCTTGGATTGCAGCAATAGTTACCTTACTTCTCTACCCGCACCAACAGCAGATCCTCTACCACCTCATTATTACACTGCAGCCAGAACAATTATTCAGAAATCAAAATCTGATTATGTCATGCCCTCTGATTAACATGATGACTCTCTATTGATATTTGGGTAGAACAAGAAGAGTACTTAACATGATCTGAAAGTGCCACATGGTCTGACCCATGCCTACATTGTCCTTCATCTTATTCCTTCTCTTCTAACCGTATTGGTCTTTTTTTAGTCCCTCACACTTGCCATTTTGCTTAATCCCAGAGAGTGCTCATGCCTCTCATTTTGTCTTTTTTACATATCTTTTTTCTCAAATCTCTTTTCAAATGTCATTTCCTCAAGAAGGGTTTTCCTGACTTGCATGACTCTGTCAACTCTCCCTATTACAGTTTTCTTTACTACTCAGCAACTTTGAGTCAAAGAGCTTGTCACCATTGCATGTATACATGTGTACAATTATTGCTTAGATAATGAGGTTTGTGGGGCTTCCCTCATAGCTCAGTTGGTAAAGAATCTGCCTGCAATGCAGGAGATCCCAGTTCAATTCCTGGGTCGGGAAGGTCTGCTGGAGAAGGGATAGGCTGCCCACTCCAGTGTTCTTGGGTTTCCCTGGTGGCTCAGCTGGCAAAGAATTTGCCTGTGATGTGGGAGACCTGGGTTTGATCTCTGGGTTAAGAAGATCCCCTGGAGAAGGGAAAGGCTACCCACTCCAGTATTCTGGCCTGGAGAATTCCATGGACTTGTATAGTCCATGGGGTCACAAAAGTCGGACACGACTGAGCAACTTTCATTTTTTCAATTAGCTTTGTAATGAATGGGGGAGGGGACGGCCTCTGGTTTTTCTAACATAGTATATCCATCCATTCAATGTTAATGACAGGAAACGTAATGGTATCCATGGTGATTAGAATGTAGTTTGTTGAATGCACCCAAAAGTGCTGCTTAAAAAAACCAATATACTTAAATATGTATCATTCTGTCAAAAATTACTTGTTAGGGAATTAATAAGTTAAGAACTATAATTATTTGAAAGAAAAGCCAGCTCAGTGGCTCAGGAGTCTATAGCATGAAATGAAAATACAAGTAGGAGACTATGAATCGGATGTCCTTAATTCAGGTACCACCTCTAACACTGATCAGTTATATGACCTTAGGCAAGTCATTTAATTCCACTGAGCTTCATTGTCATAATATATAAAATATGGATGATAATATTGCTACATAAAATATAGAATACTCTTGAAAGTCTTATAAAATCATAGCTGACTGTGTGTTTTGGGTTCTTAATCTCAGTTCTTAGCATCTATTGACTGGTAAAATTCACGTTTTCACTCTGTCCCTTGGACAATTCCACTTTCAAGGAGAGTAAGTCTCTGGAGTTTGAAAAAGGTCATATTTGCAATGCAATGGAATCCCAAAGTCAAATCCACCTATGGTTCTAATTCACTAAATCACAGCTGGTTAAGG